CGTGCACCTGTGCGGCGGCGTGCTGCTGGGCCGGAGAGCCGTGCTGACCGCCGGCCACTGCGTGGATGGCAGGATGTACGTACGGGGTGACCCCCGGGCACCATGGCTGAACCCCCTGAGAACCATGCCTGAACCCCTGGGTACCGTGGCTGAACCTCTTGAGAACTGTATCTGAACCCTCTGGGTACCACAGCTGAGCCCCCTGGGCACCACAGCTGAGCCCTCTTGGCACCATGGCTGAGCCCCTTGAGAACCATGTCTGAACCCTCTGGGCACCACAGCTGAGACCCCTGGGCACCATGGCTGAACGCCCTGGGTACCACACCTGAGCCCCCTGGGCACCACAGCTGAGCCCTCTTGGCACCATGGCTGAACCTCTTGAGAACCGTATCTGAACCCTCTGGGTACCACAGCTGAGAGCCCCTGGGCACCATGGCTGAGTCCCTTGGGCACCATATCTGAGCCCCCTGGGCACCATGGCTGAACCTCTTGAGAACCATGTCTGAACCCTCTGGGCACCACAGCTGAGACCCCTGGGCACCACGACTGAGCCCCCTTGGCACCATGGCTGAACCCCTTGAGAACCATGTCTGAACCCCCTGGGCATCACAGCTGAGCCCTCTGGGCACCATGGCTGAGCCCCTTGGGCACCATGGCTGAACCCTGAGAACCATGGCTGAACCCCCTGGACACCATATCTGAACCCCTTGACAACCATGGCTGAACCCCTGGGCACCCTGGCTGAGCCCCTTGGACACCAAATCTGAACCCCCTGGGCACCACAGCTGAACCCCTTGACAACCATGGCTGAACCCCTGGGCACCACAGCTGAACCCCTTGATAACCATGGCTGAACCCCTGGGCACCCTGGCTGAGCCCCTTGGGCACCAGATCTGAGCCCCCTGGGCACCACAGCTGAGCCCCCTGGGCACCACAGCTGAGCCCCCTGGGCAGGGAGAAGGAGGCCGAGGGCACCTGAGCTGTGTCCCAGGGTGGCCAAAGGAGCAGAGCAGGGATTGTNGCTCGTGCTCAGCAGCGCCGGTACCCGGGTGCCATCGGCAGCAGCGCCGGTACCCGTGTGTCCATAGTCAGCATCACTGGTACCCGTGCGTCCGTGCTCAGCATCATCGGTACCCGTGTGTCCGTGCTCATCATCATCGGTACCCGTGTGTCCGCCGTCAGCAGCATCCCTGTATCCATCACCAGCATCCCTGTGCCCATCACCATCCTCAGCATCCCTGTGCCCAGCACCAGCATCCCTATATCCATCATCATCATCGGTATCAGTGTCCATCAGCAGCAGCAGCAGCATCCCTGTGACCATCACCACCACCAGCAATCCCTGTGTCCATCACCAGCATCCCTGTGTCCATCACCAGCAATCCCTGTGTCCATCACCATCATCCCTGTGTCCATCACCATCATCCCTGTGTCCATCACCACCACCAGCAATCCCTGTGCCCATCACCATCATTCCTGTGTCCATCACCACCATCAGCATCCCTGTGCCCATCACCACCATCAGCATCCCTGTGTCCATCACCAGCATCCCTGTGTCCATCACCACCACCAGCAATCCCTGTGCCCATCACCAGCATCCCTGTGCCCATCACCATCCTCAGCATCCCTGTGCCCAGCACCAGCATCCCTATATCCATCATCATCATCGGTATCCGTGTCCATCAGCAGCAGCAGCATCCCTGTGACCATCACCACCACCAGCAATCCCTGTGCCCATCACCAGCATCCCTGTGTCCATCACCATCATCCCTGTGTCCATCACCAGCATCCCTGTGTCCATCATCCTTGTGCCCATCACCATCATCCCTGTGTCCATCACCACCATCCCTGTGTCCATCACCACCATCAGCATCCCTGTGTCCATCACCACCATCCCTGTGTCCATCATCCCTGTGCCCATCACCATCATCCCTGTGTCCATCACCACCATCAGCATCCCTGTGTCCATCACCACCATCCCTGTGTCCATCACCAGCATCCCTGTGTTCATCACCATCATCATCATCCCTGTGCCCATCATCATCATCCCTGTGCCCATCACCCACCATCATCCCTGTCTGTGTCCATCACCATCACAATCATCCCTGTGTCCATCATCATCATCCCTGAGTCCATCGTCATCCCTGTGTCCATCGCCATCATCATCATCCCTGTGTCCATCATCATCATCCCTGAGTCCATCGTCATCCCTGTGTCCATCGCCATCATCATCATCATCCGTGTTCACCAAGGTCATCCCTGTGCCCATCACCATCATCATCGTCACCCCGTATCCATTACTGCCTGTATTTGGTGCACCACAGAGTAATCAAAGCTTGGACTCCATCTTGGAGGTCTTTTCCATAAACGATTCAGTGATTCCCACTGCTCAATCTGTTTGTAGCTGCCACAAGGTGGAGGCATGAAGATACAACAGAGATCATTAATGAAGCACCTAATTACTGCTGGCTTTAATTTGCTTTATTGCCACCAGAGGGAAGTGGAGACACACTGGTGGCTTTCCCAGGAAAGCAAAACTCCAACACACCCCCAGCAGAACTGTTCCAAGGTTATGAGGGACCACTCATCCCTAGGGTATGAGGGACCTTGGATCCTCCTGCCACCAGGAGCAGAGCTGTCACCTGTTAATGGCTGATCCACGCTGCCACCAAATCCTTTGGAAAACTGTCAACTGCAAAGCTGACAAAGTCTTCCACAATGTGTTTGTGGAGTGCTCAGTGTTGATTCGACCCACATAAAAACCCAAACTCCACATGCTGCACGCAGAACTAATGAGTTAATAAATTGTTTTATCTCTGTCCATGATTCCCGTCAGTCTGGAGGATCACTGTGAGCCCGTTCTCACCCACCAAAAGATTTAAGGTGTCCTCAAACTGCAAAGACTTAAAACTGCTGTTCAGAGAGAGCACGGAGCTGCTGAGCAAACCCAGCAGCTCCCAGCAGCTGGAAATTCAACTCCCTAACAACTCTGAACTGAAACATGAATCAAACCCCTGACAAAATTCCTGCAGAGATCCGGAGCTCGGCTGAGCTTCCGAGGGCAGCGCAGGCTGCTTTAAGAGACGAGACTGTACCCGGAACTGAAGGAGGGCACTTGCAGAACTTTGCCTGGGGTTGCACACCAAGTTGTGCTGCCCAGCTTGTCCCGGCCTGGGAACAAACTGGCAGCTCCTCCCCTGGACTCTGGTCACTGCTTGGCAGCACCTGCACTTTCAGTCCTTGCCTGTGACCGGACTGAGAAATCAGCTGGAGAAAAGCGTCCACCAGAGCAACCCAAGCAGCTGAATGTACTCTGAGAGGACACAAATGCAGCTCTGACTGCTCTGCCTCACAGGAGAAGCAGTTCTGCTCTGCACGGCTCCTCTGCCCACGCTGAAAATGCCAGAGGCCACTGCAAGCGCCCTCCTGCTCCGTGCTGGCCTGGCGCTGCTGGCCTGGCCCGTCTACCTGCTGTCCTTCCTGGGCATCTGGGAGCCTTTCTGCAAGAAGGTCTTCTTTCCTTTCTTCTTAGAGAAGATTTCTGGAGCTCACGAGAAGAAATCAAAGAAGCACAAGCAGGAGCTCTTCCGCAACCTGCCCGACTTCAGGGGCCCCTCGGGGGAGCTGCGGCTGCTGGAGATCGGCACCGGCAGCGGCTCCAACTTCCAGTTCTACCCCGCGGGCTGCAAAGTCACCTGCAGCGACATCAACCCCAACTTCCAGGAGGGCCTCTCCAGGAACATGAAGAAGAACCAGCACCTGCACTACGAGCAGTTCCTGGTGGCCGCGGGCGAGGACCTGGGGCAGGTGCCCAGCGGCTCGGTGGACGCTGTGGTTTGCACCCTGGTGCTGTGCTCGGTGCAGAGCGTCAGCAGCACCCTGAGGGAAGTGCTCCGAGTGCTCCGGCCGGTGAGTACCTGCAAAAAACCTCTTATGACCCTTAGCTTCTGCTCTAGAGGTACCATGAGCAAGGAAAGGGGGAAAAGACCAAAAAAACCCNGTTCAGAAGGAAAGAGAGGCGTAGAAGATGGAAAAACTTCCAAAATGGAAATCCTGGATGTGGGAATGAAAGAGGAAAATGGCCCTGATGTCTCAACAAACACTGAAGGATTTAAGGCCGTGAGGATGCTCTGCTCCCCAGGCTGGGGCTGCTCACACAGGGTTTTTCCTGAATTTTGTTTGCACATGTGAATGAGGAAGTTCATGTACCTGCCTTTTGGATATGTGAATTGAAATGGTTTGGGTTTCCATAATAAAAATGGTCAACTATTGCTCCTACCCAGGAACTGGAAGGCCATTTCAAGTTGTAAAACAAGAAAACATGAAAAAATTCTTTCTGGTCCTTACACAGAGACAAAAAGGAGCTAAAGCAGCTCCCAAAGCTGCTGCCTGTGAGCAAAGGGATTCCAGATTCTCCTCAGAGCCGTGATTTACCCCTCACGTCAAGACACTCAGGGGCTAGAATGTGTCCAGAGCTGGGAACAAGCTGAACTTGATCCTGGAGGTCTTTTCCAATTCAAGGATTCTGGGATTCTGTGACTCCCATATTGCAAAACTGAGCAGAGGAAAGAGCAGCACCTTGGACAAAACCATTGCTGGGCCACAAACCCAGGAGCTGTGACTGCCTGTGCCACGCTTCTGTTTCCAGGTCACACTGTTTCTCCTTTAAATATCAGTTTACAGGTGCTGGGAGGTTCAGCTGCTCTGTTAAAATGCAGTTTCAGTTTCCTCAGACCAAACCAAGATCACCGTGTCCTCCTGCAGGGGAAAAGCAACCAGCTGATTCGTCCCTGTGCACGCTGCAAAAGCAAAGACCTGTGATGCAAAACCTTCTGGAGAAGGGGAGAGAGGAAAAAAAAAAAAAAATCTTGGAAAACTTCCCATGATTCAAGCAGATTCGTAATTCCTGATGATTCAGAGAAGGGCCTTTTTTAATGGCCTTAAAAAAAAATTCTTTGTGGAAAGTCACTGAGTGTTGGAAGCAGCAAGGAGCACTAAGGCAAGGCTGAGAGGGACAGGGAGGGAGCAGAGGATTCAGGGTGTGTGGGGAGGCCAGCAGGGCTGGGGGGGTTTGCTCCCATCTCCAGAACCTTCCCTGCATTGCCAGGGATGTGGCAGATGCCTTCAGGGAGGGAATGCAGCTCATGCCTGCCTCTCCAAATGGAAGGTTTATTCATAGCGCCGTGCTGGGAGGCGGGTGCGGCAGGAGGGGTGAGGGGGTTCCCTGCGCCTCCCTTTGGGGTCTGGGGGCAATGGTGAGAGCCAGGGAGCTCTGCCCACTGCCCCTTCAGCACTGCCCCCTCCTTCGGCCAGAAAAAACAGGAATTGGCCCCATTCTCCCACCGACAGCAGCCCTGCACCTCACAGACACTGAGAGGCTCCAAAACTCCAGCAGCGGCACCACAGACATTCCTGTGGTGGGAAAAAGGGGCTGAGAGACCCTGGGAGTTCTCTTGGGAGGGTGGGCACAGGGTGCCAGGGAAGCTGTGGGTGCTCCTGCATCCCTGGCAGTGCCCAAGGCCAGGCTGGGCAGGGCTGGGAGCACTGGGACAGTGCAAAGAGTCCCTGTCCTTGGCACGGGTGGCACTGGATGAGCTTTAAGGTCCCTCCCAACCTAAATCCTGGAATTCCATGACCTGCTCTCTCCAGAACCAGACTGGTTTAATAAAGACAAAATATTTGTTTAATAAATAAAGAGTATTTCTGAGGATATCTGTCCTGGTTCAGGGCAAATTCTGGAGCCTAAGCTGCAGCTCCTGGTAGTGCATCTCCTGGAGGAGCACATCAGCTGGGCACCTCGATGCCAAACACAGATCCCCAAATTCCACAGCCCTGCTCTGAGTCAGAACCTGCCCTCAGCACGCAGGACACAAGAATTAATTGACACAAACAACCATTAAATTAATCAGAGTAAAGAATGGTCAGTTACTCTCATCACTCCCCAAACTCAGCTGATTCCATGTCAACGATGCCCTGCCAGTCTCAGTCACTCCTGAGCGTGGCACAAACGTCTGTCCCAACAAAAACTGACCAAACTCACTGCTCACCCATGACAGAGATGCACACTCAGGCATTCTGAGCTCTGGGCAGCCCCAGCACAGCTCCTGTCACCCACCCAGCCCAGTGCAGCTCCCCAGAGGCACAGCCGAGCCTCACTCGAGATGGAGACTGTCTCAATTAGACTTGTATCAAAGAAAGCAATGAAATCAAACACTGAAGAACCTCAGTTTTGCCTTCTAATGAAATCAGTGACCATGCTCCTCATTCCATCACCAGGGCATCCCTCCCCTTCATCCCCAGCAGAGTCTGCAACCGTTCCCTCATGACACCTTTTCTCCAAACTCCTCAGCACCCATAAATGCTTCCTGCCACATCACCTTAGACAAATAAAAATTAAGATGAAAGTGAGTTTAGTCTCCTTTTTTGCCACGATTCTGTGTCCCAGTGCTTCATAACCATCAACTTCAGACTGAATTCCACGTAAGTGATGAAATACACACTGAAACCCTTACTGTTACCCCTCCATTAAATTCTTCTTATTGCCCTGATGGTTCAAATTGGCACATTAGCACGACTTGAACTATTTTTAGTTTCCAGAGCTTGCTCTCCTAACTCCACCCTTAAAGACTGAGTGATAGAGGTGATAATATCAGAAAGAAAAATATATAAAAAATATATTATATATACAAAACAACCAAACCATCCCCATCCAAAACTCCCTTCCTTTATCTTCTGTCCAAGCCATAACCCAAACCTGTAAGCTCCCAAGAAATAAAGGCGCTTTAGCAACTCCTTCCTTGCAGACTCACTTTCTGGGTCATATAATAAGGGTCAAAGTCCTCCAGTGGCACAGCAACCAGCCCTTTAGGGATGTCCCCGTAGATGAAAGGCAAATTCTTGCCCGCCTCAAGGTCACTGTTTGGTTTTGGTTTGCTGTCTTCATCGTCGTCCCGGTGGCTGCTGTCCTGCTTGGAGCGCTGCTTCTTCTTCAGCTCCGCGATGTGTTTCTCGATGTTGGCCAGGGACTCCGGAGTGAAGGGTTTAAAACTCTCGGGGCCTGGTGGTGCGAGCAGCCGCGCTGCCATCTTTTCATCCTGCAGCAGCTTCTTTAGAGATGTTGCAGCCCGGGCAGGTCAGCTCTGCGGGGAGAAAGCACGGGCACGGGGTGAGAGCGGCACGGGGAGCCCCGGTGCCCACAGCCCCGCGGAGGTGATGCCCTGGAACACAGCTAGGTAAAGGATAAAGGAGGGATTTATTATTGAAAAGGCCTTGGGCAGCACAAGAGCCTGGCCATGGCACTTACTGTCCACCCAAGATGGCTCACTGGCACTTGGCTCGCTGTCCACCCAAGATGGACTCAGAGTCATGAGATTTCGTACAATTATAAATTTTTATTTA